GATATACCGAAGAATGAACAAGAAGACCGAGGCATCCAAAAAATTTTTTTTTTTTTTTCTCCGATATACCAAAGCAAGAACAAGAAGACCGAGGCATCAAAATTTTTTTTTTTTTTTTTTTTTTTTTTTCGATAAATCCAACCGAGAACAAGAAGACCGAGGCATCCAAAATTTTTTTTTTTTTTTTTTCTTTCCCATATACCAGAGAAAGAACATGAAGACCGAGGCAACCAACAAAAAATAATTTTTTTTTTCTCTTTCCCGGAATTTTTTTTTTTTTTTTTTCGAAATAGCCGAGAAAGAATATGAAGACCGAGGCATCCAACAAAAAAATTTTTTTTTTTTTTTTTCCTAATCTACCCAAGCAAAACAAATAGAAGACCGAGGCATCCAAAAAATTTTTTTTTTTTTTTTTTTTTTTTCGAAAAATTTTTTTTCACAAAAACTTTTTTTTTTTTTTTTTCCCCAAAAAATTTTTTTTTTCGTTCCAAGCTAACCAAGACATCTACTATTCACTAGTAGAGCAATCGAGACTGCAAAGCAAGCAATGGCCTTACTTGCAGCTCTTGGTGCTGAGAACTCCCCCCCCCCCTATAGTAGTCTTAAGTAAAACCACAGCTCTGACAGGAGTAGATATTGCATGCGAGCGAGGAGTCGTAATGGGCAAAATTGACTCGGGGGACCTCCAAATCGAATTCCGTTTCGAGCAAAACACTTCTTAGGCTTCAAGGAAGCTCCCATAAAATTTCCAAACCCAAACTCCAAACTTCATTTTTTAGCCTACAATGCCCACGTGCACGCCGGTGTGCACGCAGGGGTGCTTGAGCATGCGGGAGAGGAGCCATAATGGGCAACATTGACTCGGGGGACCTCCAAATCGAAATCCGTCTCGAGCAAAACACTTCTTAAGCTTCTAGGAAGCTCCCATAAAACTTCCAAACCCAAACTCCAAACTTTATTTTTTAGCATACAATGCCCACGTGCACGCCGGGGTGCTTGAGCGTGCGGGCGAGGAGCCATAATGGGCAACATTGACTCGGGGGACCTCCAAATCGAAATCCGTCTCGAGCAAAACACTTCTTAAGCTTCTAGGAAGCTCCCATAAAACTTCCAAACCCAAACTCCAAACTTTATTTTTTAGCATACAATGCCCACGTGCACGCAGGGGTGCTTGAGCATGCGGGAGAGGAGCCATAATGGGCAACATTGACTCGGGGGACCTCCAAATCGAAATCCGTCTCGAGCAAAACACTTCTTAAGCTTCTAGGAAGCTCCCATAAAACTTCCAAACCCAAACTCCAAACTTTATTTTTTAGCATACAATGCCCACGTGCACGCCGGGGTGCTTGAGCGTGCGGGCGAGGAGCCGTAATGGGCAAAATTAACACGGGGGACCTTCAAATCGAAATCCGTCTCGAGCAAAGCACTTCTTAGGCTTCTAGGAAGCTCCCATCAAATTTACAAACCCAAACTCCAAACTTCATTTTTTAGCACACAATGCCCACGTGCACGCGGGGGTGCTTAAGCGTGCGGGCGAGGAGTCATAATGGGCAAAATTAACTCGGGGGACCTCCAAATCGAAATCCGTCTCGAGCAAAGCACTTCTTAGGCTTCTAGGAAGCTCCCATAAAATTTCCAAACCCAAACTCCAAACTTCATTTTTTAGCATACAATGCCCCCGTGCACGCGGGGGTGCTTGAGCGTGCGGGGGAGGAGTCATAATGGGCAAAACTAACTCGGGGGACCTCCAAATCGAAATCCGTCTCGAGCAAAACACTTCTTAGGCTTCTAGGAAGCTCCCATAAAATTTCCGAACCCAAACTCCAAACTTCATTTTTTAGCATACGATGCCCACGTGCACGCCGGGGTGCTTGAGCGTGCGGGCGAGGAGTCATAATGGGCAAAAACTAACTCGTGGGATCTCCAAATCAAAATCCGTCTCGAGCAAAGCATTTCTTAGGCTTCTAGGAAGCTCCCATAAAATTTCCGAACCCAAACTCCAAACTTCATTTTTTAGCATACGATGCCCACGTGCACGCCGGGGTGCACGAGCGTGCGGGCGAGGAGTCGTAATGGGCAAAATTAACTCGGGGGACCTCCAAATCGAAATCCGTCTCGAGCAAAGCATTTCTTAGGCTTCTAGGAAGTTCCCGTAAAATTTTCAAACCCAAACTCCAAACTTCATTTTTTAGCATACGATGCCCACGTGCGCGCCGGTGTGCACGTCGGAGTGCTTGAGCGTGCGCGCGAGGAGCCGTAATTGGCAAAATTAACACGGCGGAAATCTAAATCGAAATCCGTCTCGAGCAAAGCACTTCTTAGTCTTCTAGGAAGCTCCCATAAAATTTTCAAACCCAAACTCCAAACTTCATTTTTTAGCATACGATGCCCACGTGCACGCCGGTGTGCACGAGCATGCGGGCGAGGAGTCGTAATGGGCAAAATTAACTCGGGGGACCTCCAAATCGAAATCCGTCTCGAGCAAAGCATTTCTTAGGCTTCTAGGAAGTTCCCGTAAAATTTTCAAACCCAAACTCCAAACTTCATTTTTTAGCATACGATGCCCACGTGCGCGCCGGTGTGCACGTCGGGGTGCTTGAGCGTGCGCGCGAGGAGCCGTAATTGGCAAAATTAACACGGCGGAAATCTAAATCGAAATCCGTCTCGAGCAAAGCATTTCTTAGGCTTCTAGGAAGCTCCCATAAGATTTCTGAACCCAAACTCCAAACTTCATTTTTTAGCATACGATGCCCACGTGCACGCCGGTGTGCACGAGCATGCGGGCGAGGAGTCATAAAGGGCAAACTTAACTCGGGGGACCTCCAAATCGAAATCCGTCTCGAGCAAAGCATTTCTTAGGCTTCTAGGAAGCTCCCATAAAATTTTCAAACCCAAACTCCAAACTTCAATTTTAGCATACCATGCCCACGTGCACGTCGGGGTGCACGAGCGTGCGGGCGAGGAGTCATAATGGGTAAAATTAACCCGGGGGACCTCCAAATCGAAATCCGTCTCGAGCAAAGCACTTCTTAGTCTTCTAGGAAGCTCCCATAAAATTTTCAAACCCAAACTCCAAACTTCATTTTTTAGCATACGATGCCCACGTGCACGTCGGGGTGCACGAGCGTGCGGGCGAGGAGTCATAATGGGCAAAATTAACTCGGGGGACCTCCAAATCGAAATCCGTCTCGAGCAAAGCATTTCTTAGTCTTCTAGGAAGCTCCCATAAAATTTTCAAACCCAAACTCCAAACTTCATTTTTTAGCATACGATGCCCACGTGCACGTCGGGGTGCACGAGCGTGCGGACGAGGAGTCATAATGGGCAAAATTAACTCGGGGGACCTCCAAATCGAAATTCGTCTCGAGCAAAGCATTTCTTAGGCTTCTAGGAAGCTCGCATAAAATTTTCAAACCCAAACTCCAAACTTCATTTTTTAGCATACGATGACCACGTGCACGCCGGGGTGCTTGAGCGTGCGGGCGAGGAGTCATAATGGGCCAAAACTAACTCGTGGGACCTCCAAATCAAAATCCGTCTCGAGCAAAGCATTTCTTAGGCTTCTAGGAAGCTCCCATAAAATTTCCGAACCCAAACTCCACACTTCATTTTTTAGCATACGATGCCCACGTGCACGCCGGGGTGCACGAGCGTGCGGGCGAGGAGTCGTAATGGGCAAAATTAACTCGGGGGACCTCCAAATCGAAATCCGTCTCGAGCAAAGCATTTCTTAGGCTTCTAGGAAGTTCCCGTAAAATTTTCAAACCCAAACTCCAAACTTCATTTTTTAGCATACGATGCCCACGTGCGCGCCGGTGTGCACGTCGGGGTGCTTGAGCGTGCGCGCGAGGAGCCGTAATTGGCAAAATTAACACGGCGGACCTCCAAATCGAAATCCGTCTCGAGCAAAGCACTTCTTAGTCTTCTAGGAAGCTCCCATAAAATTTTCAAACCCAAACTCCAAACTTCATTTTTTAGCATACGATGCCCACGTGCACGCCGGTGTGCACGAGCGTGCGGGCGAGGAGTCATAATGGGCAAAATTAACTCGGGGGACCTCCAAATCGAAATCCGTCTCGAGCAAAGCATTTCTTAGTCTTCTAGGAAGCTCCCATAAAATTTTCAAACCCAAACTCCAAACTTCATTTTTTAGCATACGATGCCCACGTGCACGTCGGGGTGCACGAGCGTGCGGACGAGGAGTCATAATGGGCAAAATTAACTCGGGGGACCTCCAAATCGAAATTCGTCTCGAGCAAAGCATTTCTTAGGCTTCTAGGAAGCTCGCATAAAATTTTCAAACCCAAACTCCAAACTTCATTTTTTAGCATACGATGACCACGTGCACGCCGGGGTGCTTGAGCGTGCGGGCGAGGAGTCATAATGGGCCAAAACTAACTCGTGGGACCTCCAAATCAAAATCCGTCTCGAGCAAAGCATTTCTTAGGCTTCTAGGAAGCTCCCATAAAATTTCCGAACCCAAACTCCACACTTCATTTTTTAGCATACAATGCCCACGTGCACGCCGGGGTGCACGAGCGTGCGGGCGAGGAGTCGTAATGGGCAAAATTAACTCGGGGGACCTCCAAATCGAAATCCGTCTCGAGCAAAACACTTCTTAGGCTTCTAGGAAGCTCCCATAAAATTTCCGAACCCAAACTCCGAACTTCATTTTTTAGCATACGGTGCCCACGTGCGCGCCGGTGTGCACGTCGGGGTGCTTGAGCGTGCGGGCGCGGAGTCATAATGGGCAAAATTAACTCGGGGGACCACCGAATCGAAATCCGTCTCGAGCAAAACACTTCTTAGGCTTCTAGGAAGCTCCCATAAAATTTCCGAACCCAAACTCCGAACTTTATTTTTTTTTTTGGACACTCGTGTGCGCGAGGTAAAGCTTCTCCGCGGGACTCGAGCGAGTTGAATGAATGGGGTGGGCGCCGGTGCGCGCCTCGGTTAACCTGGAACACTTGTGTCGTGGTGTGGCACGGTGTTGCCCAGCC